AGAAAATACATACATAACGTCCCTAAAAGGAAGAGCTACTTCTGTCGCAGAGCCGTGGTTTGTGTATAAAAGTCTGACAAGGACCAGAAAACCATACTTTACACCTTTTTATATATTATACATTAATATTTAATATTTTGTCACATGCTTAATTGGAAATTTGCAGAAAGTTTCTAAATAAAATGAGAAAAATAATCAAATATGAGCAACTACCTTTTATTATATATAGTATAAGTATATAATTGAAAATGAAATAATTTTAGATAAACTATGTACTGAATTTACAGAAAATTTGCTATATCTTGATATGTATCATTATCTGGATATGAAATGGCCTTTATCGGGATGTGAGATTTTGGTCATATTACACAGCGCTAATGGTGACCATGGTAAACACTATATCTGCTAAACATCAACATGTTAGCATTGTCATTGTGAGCATGTTAGAATGCTGACATTAGCTTTTAGCTCAATGAACCATACAACATGCAGCTGCTTGTGTGGCTGTAGACTCTTGTTACAATTTACAACAGAGATTGTGCATGATAGCAATCCATTCATCGGTTCATTATTCCTCAAGAAATATCACCATCATCAGCAAATTAGTGACAATACCAGTTTTGTCAGAAATAAATCCATACTGGTCCTACAACTTTGCTGCTCTCCTGGTTCACTACATAAAGTTCTTTTTAAATTTTTGGTCAAAGTTTTGACAAATATTGCTTGACCATGTGTTCAGTAGTCTACAGAGGCCAGTTAGGAAAAACAACTTTTCAAAAAATCAATAAAAAAAAAGAAAGAAATGTTGCTTTAAATGCCAATAATGGGTATTTTTTGTAATACATTTTGGTTGAATTTTTAGATTTATACATTCTGTGGGCCCAATTATTCGTCAAAATGTGAATTTCCTTCTTCTAGTTGCATGACATCAACCACAACGGAGCTGTAATGTTGTACATGTGCTTAACTTTTCCTTTCCTCACTTGCTCAGCTGACTGACGTAGGGGAATAAGATACTGCATACTTGGCTACTCTTAAATGTCATTCTTCCCCCATCAGCCAATCAAATCAAATTGAGAAGTCGAGGAGAAGAGGGCCCGATGCTGCAGCGATTGCCAGCGAGGAGAGAAAAACGATGCAGACTTCGTCTTCCTCCTCATCCTGCTCCGTCTCCTCCTTTCCGTCTTGGCCCTAATCCACTTAGTTAGCTCTTCCTGAGCTTACAGCCTTTCCTTTATTCCATTATAAAGACCCAACGTACGACCTGCTGCTTATTTCATTAAAAAAGGCCCAATCCATGACCCCACATCTAATCCATAATGCAGACTACAGTGTGGCCACAGCCCGCTATAGTCCACACAACAGTCCAGCGGGGAGGCTGACAGATGGGACAGAGGGAACAGGGATGGAGAGATGGAGGTCCAATGAATGAGGAGGGAATTTGAGAGCTCCTGGTGAATATGATTTCACTGATGTAAATGATGATAGAGTTGAAGCTTTGCTACTCTATCTTTGATGGTTGGAGATGGCTTTCACATGGCCCATCAGTGATATGGAAATGGCCACATCTAAGGGTTGAATATAGCCTGTAAAATGAGCATAAAGCCTGAGGCTTTCAAAACCCAAAACACCTTGGCTTAGAGTTTATATTGTAGTCACTACTGTAGCTCATTACAGTTAACCTTGGGAGAACTTTGCAACACAAAGTTAGTGATGCTGAATCATATAATAATATTCTATCAACTCTATCCAATTTGACTTTGCCTCCACTCCACTCCCTCTGTTTGACCTTCTCCCCTCTTTGCCTGCTTTAAAATCCTTGCTCCACCTCTGGCTGCCCTCCGCCCTAAACGCCCTCTCACAACTTGCTCAAGATCCAGTTTGCTGAGTGTTGTCATTGCGTCCACAAATCTAAATTTACAACCCCCCTCCCATCAAATCTAACTTCCCTGCGTTTGCACTTAATGGCCTATCGGGTTACGTATTTATTGATAAAGCAGCACTATTTAGCCCTGAGTACCTGGCTTCTCGCATACCTGCGCCAGCTCTTTAGAGGCCGGCCAGTCACTCTGACAATGCAGCGTCAGATAAAAGAGACATGTCCCATAGAGGTAACATCTTACACTGGTTGATGGGAAAAGGGCTTGTTTTGCTGTCTGCGTCCTGGCTCAACTCAGGTCATTAAGAACAGTTAACTAATAATAATTACTTTTAACTGGGTTCAGCAAGAGAGCCACAGCTAGAGGCCCTGGGACATACAATACGGCCAGGAAGTGACTACAACCCTCTATCCATCGATAACACCAGCATATCTCATTACCGTGGCGACCTGCTGTACACTGCCACTCGGTCTTGATCATATAAAACCCATTTCAGTGCGCCGTCCCCGCCGGAGCACCAGCGGAGCGGAATATTCATTATTCAAATTTTAAGCATTGGAAATCCCAATATGTTACTAAGGCCAGATGAGATGAGATGAAATAGCTTAGCCTTTTGTCCAGGGAACATTGACTAATCGTCTCGCTCCCCAAAATCAATTTCCCAGCCGTAAGCATCAGACACTCCTGATTGTACTGTACTGTTGAAGACCCCCCACCACTATCACCTAATACTCCTGCTGGCTGCCCAGAATAACTTATTGATTAGTGATTATGTTACGGGAGGTGTGGGTGGCCGGGGCGGAAGACGGACTGGCCTCAGTCATCTCCACAGGGCTAAATTTGGGTCCTCTGTTACCAGATCCAGCACATACTGACACTATCGCCAGCTGTCAACAGCCACCAGCCCTGCTCTCTGAACGAAGAGAGAAATTAAGAAAGTGTTCTGGAAGTGTAAATAGGAAGAGAATTTTTTTAGATCCGGACGAAGAGAAAGATTAAGAAAATGTTCTGGAAGTATAAATATGAAGAGAAATGTTTGAAAGCTTACAGTGTAGGGGGTGTTTCAAGCAAAGCGGCACAGCGGGTAACGCAAGATGGATGATAAATTCTTAGATGTGGTGCACTTGTGGACTACTAAATAAAGAAATAAGCACAAATATTTCAAAACAGGAATGTTTGATTATTAAATTCGCTGGATATGGTGGAGGTTCTGGGATAGTGATGGACTGTTTCACCTCCAGGGTATTGGGCTGATCTCTCTCTCTCTCTCTGATTCTATGCTGAGCCTGAAAAGTGGCTGTGATCAATACCTGCAGGCCCTTTCCACAGTGCCAGAGGGCTGTTTGTGTGTGTGTGTG